ATTCGAATTGCTTTTCTGCATTACTCTGGGCTTTAGCGAGCTCCTTCCCCATCCCTCACAAGGTTCTACATATGCTGCCTCTGTTCAATCAAGTGGAATCTCCGAAGTAGCATGCTGGGTGGAATGTGCAATGAATACTAAAAAAGGAAAAATGAACCTGCAAACATTGGCAGCTGGCAGCTTCTTAAAATCCTAATCTCATTTAATGAAATACAAGTGATTTTCAATTTTAGCTACTAAAATAATATTCTGCGTTGAATACCGAAGTAAAATGAGTGCTGAACTTTGTTTAAATCCAGATGAGAAGAGGTTTTAAATAAGCATCACATCAGCCAATATCCAATGAATATCAAATTTTGCATGTTTACTGTGAAATCCTGAACACTGAAAAGAAAACAGCAGGAGCGTGATGAGAGTTTAGGGTTGGTGTTGTTTACTAGGTGGACATGAGCAGCCTGCATTACCTAAAATGCATGCTTTTCAACTTTTCTAGTCCTTTTTCCTCCTCTTCAGTCCACAAGTCTAGTGACACTTCCTGCCTCTCCTCTCAGGTACCTCATATTCCCATTTTTGCTGTCTCCATTTAAGTATCTGTCTCTTCCCCCCAGACTCACATATGTGTGTACAGACATATATAAGAGGATTCATTACAGGAATGGGTATACTAGTGAAAAATTGGAAACAATCTAAATGTCCGTTAACAGGAGAATAGGTAAATATATTAAAAACACATTTATTCTATGGAATACTATGCAACTGTTTAAAGGAGTAAGATAAGGTTAAATATAATGACGTAAAAATTTCCAAGATACATTGATAGGTGAAAATAAAAAGTCACAGAATAATACTATATGTTAACCACTTAGGTAGAAAACATATTGGAAAGAACACCATTAACTTGTTGAGAGTCACTATTTTTGATGATGGGGATGACACATGGGAAGCAGGGGTGGGAAGAGGCACTGTCACTTTTCATTCCATTTACATTGGTATTGCTTAGATTTGATTTTGTCATGTATAACTGTATAGCTTAAAACTATGTATATATTTTACTGCTGTACTCTTTCTTTCTCACTCACTTCTAATAAAATTCTCAGGCAGGATGTGAACAGAAAGAAACAGTCAGGTTTATGGACTTCCGCATCTCACACTTGGGTTCCAGTGTTTGACTATTTATGATTTCCTTCCTGTGCTCTGACAAAGTCACTAATTTTAGGTATGCCTTTATGGTTAGAAACTGCATTTTGTTTTGCTTGAATTTTTGAACCAGTGATCTCAAGAACTGTGTTTCTGCAACACTTGCTTACTGTGTGAATCCTCTTCCTACCCCAAACAAAAAGGGACCATTTAAGAATAAGTTCTTAATTTGTTGCTAAATGCTAACGATGAGAATTAGATAATAAGTTGTTTTCCTGACCATAAACATAAAGGAAATGCATCTTCAGAAAATCGATGGAAATTCTGTATATAAAAGATGCAGATTATTTATCCTAAATTAAATTCAGAAGTGAAATTAGCAAAGTGGCTAGGGTAGTCCTAACATGAAACATTAATTGGGATTTAATGGTGATAATCTTAGCGGTAGGAAAGAGACATAATAACATTCTATCAAACCTTTGTTAGCTGTCCTTGTAATATTGCCTTAATGATAGCATCCAAGAAAGTTGCACACAATCCACTCCATGAATCAGAATCCAATTATTTTTTATTGGTTTCATGCTTTTACCCAAGAGAGATCCATAAATTGTTTTTAATCACTTCTTTTATCTTAAATCAATAGTGTCTGCCAAGTGGGTAATGTTTTCCATTAAAACATCATCTCCCTATAATTGGTATGATTACTTCATAAAGAGATAAACTGCAGCACAATTTGGCAGTCTTTGGGTTTATAAAATCTAATTATATTCACAACACAATATTTTATTCTTAGTAATCACAAAAAGAACATAATCTTGAACAAAACCCAGACATTTATGATGAAGTAATTGGAAAGAAACAAGTTAATTATTGCATATAGTACCACTTCTATTAGTAGTCTCCGAGAGAAAGCATTTTACAGAGTCATTCAGAGTGTAGGGAGGTTCGAGGGAGTTCTGGTCCTCTTTGCCTAGTGGCAACCTTGTGGCTGAGATGGGGAGTTTAGTTCAATCCTGAGGTACAGGCTTCTCAAGGCTGGGCTAGGACCCGGATCACCCAGGTGTGGACTAGCAATTCCCCAGCCTTGGATTTTCATATGCAAGCCTATGCATGGACGGATAGGCTGCTTCAGCAGCAGCTACAGGGGAGGGGTAGCGGGGACAAGCATGAACGTCACCCTCTGTTTCAACAGAATATTTGCTTTCACTTGTTTTATATTTGGGGCTTCTGCAACAGATTTCATTTGGAGAAAGGGGATCAGCTGCTAAAATTTATTTTTGAAAACCTCTGCCCTATGCCATAGTCATGTTCTGCCTCTATGTCAAAGGGACTGAAAATAGAAAGAAAGAAAAGAAGCTGGGAACACCTTCTGACTGAACCAGGAGGGCCAAACAACAACCCATGTTACCCAAAAACTGCATGCTAAAACTCTAAAGCCCTCTTATAGCATCAATATTATTTCTAACTCTGGCAGAAACAAATTCCTAATTTAAAAAAGGATAAAACACACACACAAACCAAGAAGATACCCCCAAATTGTAATTCAGTTTTTCCTCCCCATATTGCTTCTGTGTAAGAAAAGAGAGGTAGGGAGCAAAGAAGATTCAAAAACAGGAGGAAATTGGATGTCCCTTAATCAGCTTCAGTATTGTCCAGACCAAGGTGTTCCATTTTGCTCCAGCATCACTGCATACTAATCTACCTTTCCTTCTTTGTATTTCTCTCCCCTTCTTTCCTCTCGATGGTATCTCGAGGGGCTTTTTCTCTCCCTTTCTTCCTCTTTCTCCGTAACCCACTCCAATAAGTATGACACATTCATTTAGGAAACAGCAACTTAGATTGTGAGACTCAGAGAAAGAAAGTTAATAATAAGCCCAAAGGCTAGATGGAAAGGTGAAAAGATACAAAGTTGTCCCCTAAAGCTACAGAAAATTCTGACTGAGGAAGGGAAAGGTGGCAGAGGTCTGGGGTTAGGGGCAACTTGTCCAGGAGGGAAAGAAGTAGAGACATTAGCTCTGGAGAATTCTTCTATAAAAGGGACTTATCAGTGGCAAGCTGATTCTCACATGCAGCTCCTACCTGTGATTCAGATTGCAATGTCCCCTCCTGGGAAAGACCTTCCCTGACTGCCCAGCACAAAGTGGCCACCAAGTCCTTCTCTATCACATTATCCCATTTTACCTCTCTACATGGCACTCATTAGCTGGCATTTTTCTTCTTTATTTTTTTCTGCCTCTCTCGATCTCCTATCCTCACCCTCTTCCCCACCAAAAGCTCCCTGAAGGGCAGTGATTTGGTTCCATGTGCTATCTGCTTCTTGCTTTTAGAATATAAGCTCTAAGACTGCAGGGACTTGGCTGGTTTTGTTAACATCTGTATTGGTTCAAAGTGCCTTTACACATAGTAGGGGCATTCAACACTTCAGTGAATACTTGTTGAATAAGAATCATAGAAAGATGGGCTTCTCTGGTGGCGTAGTGGTTAAGAATCCTCCTGCCAATGCAGGGAACATGGGTTTGAGCCCTGGTCCAGGAAGATCCCACGTGCTGTGGAGCAACTAAGTCCGTGCACCACAACTACTGAGTCTGTGCTCTAGAGCCCACAAGCCACAACTACTGAGCCCGCGTGCCACAACTACTGAAGCCCATGTGCCTAGAGCCCATGCTCTGCAAAAAGAGCAGCCACGATGATGAGGCGCACCACAACAAAGAGTAGCCCGGGCTCACAGCAACTAGAGAAAGCCCACGCACAGCAGCGAAGACCCAAGGCAGCCAAAAATAAATAAATAAAATAAATAACTTTATTAAAAAAAAAGAATCATAGAAAGAAAACCCTTTGCCCTTTACCAAGGTTGCATTGTGATGAAGCAGTTGAAATTTTCTCTGAGTTGGGGCAATGGCAAGCATGCTGCTTTGTTTATAGGTATAGCCTCAAATTTTAGTCCATTGGGACCAACAAGGGCCAATGGCATGGATGGAACTAGAAGTATCTCCTCCATTCTTAACGTGATGTGGGTGTGAGAAGGACACTATAGGAAGAGAAAGCAGCCCCCTTTCTGCTCCAGGGGGACAAGAAGATGTTATAAAGGAAGCACTGACTGCATTGAAAGCACACACAGAAGATCAAATAATGCTGCAATCCTATAAGCCTGACAAAAGCTTTTTTGATGTGTGGCAGATTACAGTTATACTGAAACACACTATGAAAATATTTTTCACTTGTTAACAGATGTCTTCAGCAGATTGGTAAACATCAAAGATTCATCTTGGTCTTTTGTTATTTCTATCTCAAATACTACCCGCCTCTTTGCTTCATTGTATTCTCCCATTGGGTAAGGAATAACACAAAGGCATATGATCATTTACAAGTCAAGATATTTAATGTTAGCATTTCATTAGTGATTTAAAATATACACCTTTCAGAATATGTGAAGTACAACAAATATATACATATTTTAGGGTAAACAGAATAGAATTTCACAGCAGGAGATATATTTTTTACACCAATAGTATGTTCATTTTGGAGCACAATGGCTTTAGTAAATGATATAAAATAAAGAGGACCACCAAGGCAAAAAAAGAGATGAATTGTGATAAATTATTTATATGTTGGACATTAAACAGTCTTCATAGATGAGTGACCAAATGATTTATCATCCAAAGAGATGCTTCTGAGAGGGAAAAGGCACACTGGCCATACTTAACACTGGGACAACAGACAAAAACCAGGACAAACCAGGATGTGTGGTCATCCTCCTCATGGGGACATTTTTTTTTTTTTGCAGTACGCGGGCCTCTCACTGTTGTGGCCTCTCCCGTTGCGGAGCACAGGCTCCGGACGCGCAGGCTCAGCGGCCATGGCTCACGGGCCCAGCGGCTCTGTGGCATGTGGGATCTTCCCGCGTCCCCTGCATTGGCAGGCGGACTCTCAACCACTACGCCACCAGGGAAGCCCCATGGGGACATTTAATGACAACAAAACTGCTTTTGTGGTTTTTCTTTTTTTAAAAGCCAAAACAAAACAAAATAGCTTGCTCATGTGCTAACAACTGGTCCTTTTTTGATTAACTGCTTTGTTTGCTAAAATAAAACTAATCTGAATATAAATTATTGCTGACAACTGTTAGAAGAAGAGAAATTCAATGGGTAATCTATTCAATTTTCAAATTGTTCTGATCTTTAGAAAAAAGTCCCCCTGATGTAAAAATTAATCATAATAGAGATGTCTGCTGGGTACCGTTTCTCAATTAAAATATGCATTTTATATTTTTAAGATCACCTACTTCCAATATTGACCTGGTTGGCAGATAGAGTTCATCTCCAGTCCCAGCCCTTATTGACTGTGGCCATGAGGAGCACTGTGTTGCGAGGATTCTGAGGCCACCTTAGGGCTCAGAAAGGCACGTGGTGATGAGTTGGTGATGTTTACAGGAGACACAGGATATGGGGCAGTGACAGGTGTGGCAAGTATTGCCATCCTAGATTTGGAAAAATACCTGGTTTAACAATAATTTTGTGACAGATATCTAATACAAAAGAAATAATTACACCTTGTTGATCTTCTACCTCAATAAATCTACTACAGTGTAATTAATACACCAACTACACCACAGGAGAACAATGCCATCACTCTGAACTGGAATGAAGACAGCTATCTTGTGATTTCCACACATCACTGTTTTACAACTCTCTCAGTCCAAAATCAAAATAAGGAAGATCAAATTCTTAACATCTGAATAGAAAGTCGTAGGGCAAAAACCCAACACAGTAAACATGCAATTAATTGTTCCTCTGTTTCCATCCCTTACCTATTTTGTTGTCTGTGGGCTGTATTTTTATCTACTCGAGAGAACACTAAGTAATAAAATGAAAATTAAACTTGCTTTTCCTCTTGTAAGCGAATACTAATATCTCAATTTCAAAGAACGATTTTCAGCATTTATTTCACTACCACATATTTTGTATTATTTATCCTTCATACAAAAGAGAGATCTGTTTTGTGCCTTGTAATGAGGAAAATTCAAAAAGATATAGTTGATACATCTTCTAAAATATAGGAGGCATCCCTAATATTGTTGCTGCTTTTGTGGCCATGAATTATGTTCTATCTTTAGATCTTAATTCTCCAATTAAAAAAAAATAGGGCAGAATTAAATTTGTGTTGAGGGAGAGAGCCATCTTCAAATTGCAAGGCAGCTTTGGACTACACAGCTCTACTTTTCTAAGAGTGAAATCCTATTGAAGTGGCTTTCCAAAATATTTTGTGGAAAATAAGAATTTATAGATGGTAACGCCTCATTCATGCTCCCCAAACAGGTCACGAATTCATCAGGCAGCAGGGTCTGTTCTGGAATAGTTTCATTTGGTGATGCATTTTCCAAAAGCATGGTGGTTTCCCCTTCTTCAGGGTTTTGCATGTCTGGAGGACTGCATTCTCCTTGATTTAAAATGAGGCTTAATTCTTCAAGAAATCGTGTGTTGCTTAGCGAATTCATACTTGAGACAGAGAAAGAAAAATTAGGATATTTTTTAAACCTGGCATTCTTTCCCAGATTTAAGCAATCAGCTGGTGGCTCCAGAGTTGAGGAAGCTGTTTCATCATTATTGCTGAGATGGTTTCCCCCAGTGAGAAAATTTGAAATCTGGGGTTTATACCCAGTGTTGAGATCAGGAATATATACAATTGTAGTGTTGGTGAGTAGTGACTTCTGCAGGCTGTCGTTTGTCTCCACGGATCCTGTGTTCTTTTCCCTTTTGTAGTCCATGGGTTTTTCTTCTGGGAGAAAGATTTCTATCTCTGTAATCACTGGATCAACATATAGGACCTGTTCTCTGGAATTACTATTCATAAATTCACTTTTTTCCTAGAAAGAAAAGACATTGTTTTTTTTTTACAAAAGAAGTTTAAAGGAGCCAACTGGATAATTGAGTAAGAACTGGAGTTTTGCTTTCCCTCAACTTTCCTTTCCCCCTAATTTTTCTTCATATTGTTTCGCTTCCCATATGATTTCCTCCTTTTGTCTTTTGTTAACCCTGCTCCATTCCAAATGTTTGTTAAATTCTCCCAGGAGGAGACTGAAGGAAGGGAGTAATAAAAATAGTCCATGCTGTAAGCACATGCCTTTATTTAAAAATTTTAAAGAGAAAGAAGCCTCTTTCATATTAACTTGCAAATTATTTCAGGGCCTTTTAAAATTTTGGACTATTTCTTAATATTATAGTTCCTTTCTACAAGAAAATACTTTGTTGCTTAAATAAAAGAAAGTTGGCGGTGGGGGATAGTGCATGGAGAATCCTATTTTGCTTCCATTTGAGAATAAAGTTGTAGTAAATGCTTTGTGCTGTGGTTCTAAAGGCGTGCAGCTAGCTGCTCACAAGTCAGACATGTCTGTGATGATCAGTCAGGAGGGTGGGTGAAGAAAGTTTTTCTTTGTATAAAAGCCTGATGACTCTTCTGGTAAGAAAAGGACTCGAAGCCTTCCAGCTGATGGCTGGCTTCCCAGGGCAAATAACTCCCACCCAACACAATTACAAAATTATAGCCACTTGCTATGGACTGCATGTTTGAGTCCCTCCAGAATTCATGTGTTGAAGCCCTAACCCCCAATGTGATGGTATTAGGAGGTGGGGCCTTTGGGAGGTAGTTAGGTCATGGGGGTGGAGTCTTCATGAATAGGATTAGCGTTCTCATAAGAAAAGACACGAGAGAGCTGATCTCTCTGTCTGCTATGTGAGGACACAACCAGAAAGCAGCCATCTGCAAGAGAGCTGTCACCAGGAACCAGATCTGCTGGTGTCTTGATCTTGGACCTCCCAGCCTCCAGGACTGTAGGAAATAGATGTTTGTCATTTAAGCCACCCAGTCTATGGTTTGTCATTTAAGCCACCCAGTCTATGGTTGGAACAGCCTGAACTGACTAGAACACTACTCCTTAGTCTTTGGGCAGAAAGCAAAACCTCATCTGAAGGAAACCCTAAGGTTCATTTCTAATTCCAGGAGCCCAGAATGGGAAGGAAGTTTGACAAAGACAAAGACCTTGAATAAAGCAGCATGAAGGGTCGTTCAAATTTTCATTGGCTCTGCCTCCCCAAGGCACTTGCCAGGTTTGGGATGGGAAGGGCAGACATGTAGTCGTGGGTCAGATGAAGTCAAAGGAACTAGAGTTGCTATAGTAAACTGAGAGGAAGGCGGTGTTTTCCCCTCTTCTGGCTGGCAGCTGAGTGGAGAAGTGGATGGGAGTCAGACCATAGTGAAGGACATAGAAGAGCAACAGGGACTATTCCAGTGTGAGGACAGTAAAGGAAGAGGAGGATCTGATCACAACAATGGCAGGGGCAATACTCTGAATCACAGAGTGTCCCCAGTTCCCTAGGATAACTAGTGGGGGAGCAAGACAGAACGACTAAGTGGAATGTATATCAAGACCACAGTATTTATTAGTTGTAGTTTGGTGACTATGTACTTGTCCTTCAGTCAGCTGTTAACTGTGTACTTTATTCTATATGTGGGTTCAGTTATTCCAGACCACCTGTCCACTGTGTAGGCAACATTACCTCCTTCAAAATCAACCACGTCCACACCCTTTCTCTCCTTCAAGGATCCAGAGACAAGGATCCCTCCTCTTGCTCCAGGTGAGACTTTCCTCCACATCCCTTCATAGTCGTACTTGATCAGTCCCCTCCCTCCCCCGCCCCCCCCATACTAGTCCTCTCAAGCCCATTCAATTTAGTACAAACAGGCTTCTGAGTCCATACTGCTCTGGAGCTACTGTTAATACATTCGTCGCATCAGTATTGAGAGTATTTGATCATGTGTCAGCATAGCCCCTTTCTTACTTCCCTTCTAGACTACACTCCTCAAAAGATGTCTCCACTCTCAGTCCCCTTCCATTCACTTCTAACTGAACCCCTGGACCGGGACCACCAGTGACCTGCTCCTTGTCACATTCCACAGATGCAGATGCATTCCACTTCTTATGTTACAGACCCTCTACAAAGTCAGCACCAAGGACCCTTGCTTCTCGACACTTGGCCCACAACTCACGATGCTTATTTCTCTACCTTCCCATTCTGCCTCTTTCCTAGGACCATTCCTATTCCAATGGACACACCCTCACTGACTCCTCACTGGCTTTAGCAATAGTTTTCAACCCCTTAACAGTGTGCTCAGCATGGCTGTGTAGTGGAATCACTTGGGAAGCTTTGGAAAATGCTGAGGCCTGGGTCTCCCCCTCCCCACCCTCCCCCAAAGACACTGGGTTGTGGCCTGGGAATCAGGATTCTAGCATGCAACCAAGGCTGAGAACTGTTGCCTTAGGGACTCACCTGGGGCTAGGGAAGGAGTTGGTTAACGGGCTCACTAGATCTCCAAAAAGAGCCACTTTTTCTTGTTTTACAAATACTTGTCTTCCTCACATCATTTGAACAAAGGGTTCCTAGGCTAAAAATAACTTTTTTTCAAGTTTGAAAACTATTGATTGGCAGAATGAAGTCTGAGTTCCATAATAAGGTCTCCTGTGATCTGATCCCACTCTGCATTCCCACATTATTCCAGTCACTCCTCACATCAAGTGTTTCCACAAAGCAATACCCAACATGCTCTTCTCACCTCTGTGTCTTTGCTCATGTAGCCTGTCTATTTTGAATGTCTTCCATTTCTCCTGAGCAACTCCTTCCTGTCTTTTAATATGTTTCCTCTATACTCTCATCATGTTTTGTCTCATCTCTGTTACTGTACTACGTCACTGCATTGCAATGCTTGAATGATGTGTCTGTCCCATCAACTGAGTTTTGAACCCCTTGACAGCCAGGCTGGAGAGCCAGAAAGTGTAGGAGCACACATAGCAGATTACTTCCCCTCTTCCATAATCAGCAGCAGCTCCTCCATAACTGGCAAAGTCCCCTACAGCTCAGGGTCTTCCTGGGGCACCCTTCTATTCTTTGCTAAACTGGATACCTGGCCCACCCCTGGTGACGCCATCTGCCATAGTCCCCTCACATTCATCTTCTCGAATTCCACTGGGTCTCAGGAGCAAAGTGGTGTCCTCCCTGGGCTCCACCTGCTTCTCCAGTCTCATGTAAAACAGAAGCCCCTTTGTGTCTCTGAGGCTCGATCTATTGAGATTTTCTTCCCTCTTCCTTTTGTCCCTGAAGACACCTTCCAATTGCTTGGCCACCAAGTAAGTGGCTCTGGCACCTGGCTTACAATCTTCCATTCACTCTTCTCTTTTGAATGGCATTGCTTCTCTCTTTCATCTCTCTTTTCTTCCCTTAGTCCATTCTCTCATCTCTCTTAAGTATGATTTGAAATATGTATAATTTTATCTCTACATAAGCCATACTGTTGTGCAAATATGCACACATATTTCTTTATTTGAATGGAAATTCTACTCTAATTATTGGACTGCACTCTTGGTTTCAGCTGCCATTTAGTTTGTATTTGATGGTGTTTGGTTACCTGTAGCATTTTCACAACATTGCTATTTTCTATATTAGGAATATCTTCATAAAGCCACTTCGGTATTAGCAATAAGATTCTTCTTTTAATTCTAAAAAACAAAAAATGACTAAGAATAAGCATCTTACTTGAGGATTGGTGCAGGCAATCATCTAGGAGATTAGGAAATCAACTAGAATGGAATGCATAATTAAAACCAAACTTTCCGATGCAGAAACTAAGATTTCCATCTCTTACTTTAAAAAGTTATGTGGAAAGTTGATTCAATATCTTTTCAGATTTTCCTCTTCTCTCTATTGCTCTGCCTGTCTCTAATAAGCCAGAACATTACAAAACACTCACACTAGATTCAAGATAAATGGGAGAACCACCCAGGAAGTGAAACTATACACATGTTAAATATGGCAAACCATTATAAGCTGAGATGTCAGTGTGGAAAAGTTTGTAAAACCTAAGGGATATTTTGTAAAACTTTCCAAGGGGACCATAACCACAGAGAAATATTAAAGAAGAGAATGTCATATAATAAAACTATAATATTTGAGCTCCTCTAATTGTAATGATTCTAAATAGGGTTGAGATGATAGTGGTGGCTCCAGACTTTCCTTATGTAGTTGGAGCAGGAGTCCTGGGAAGTTGGCTTGCAGTTGTGTGGCATGGTGAGGACACCAGTTTTTACTTAGGCTGTGTGCTTATTACGGATCTCTGGGATCGGGTGGTGGAAGGAAGAGTGAGAAACTGTGAACACCTCACTTTTCCTCCTAAGCTACCCCTTGGCACTGCCACTGTGTTGAAAGCACTTTCTGCATTTACGTAAAAATTGATTTGAGCAAAAAGGTTGTCCCGGGAGCTTCAAAGAGACTACACTGATCTCTGGCACATTATTATGTGTTAACAATGCAGCACAACAGATCAGACTCTTATATCTGTTTATACAGCTTCTCTAAGAACTTTTACTAAGTATCAACCAAATTAGCTGCATGGACTTTGCTTGCCCAATTTGACCTTGAACTGTAGGGTAAAAAATAATTTCTTTACACATATTTATACAATGTTTTATGGTTCAGTTTTTTAAATAATTCACACTCCCTATGTATACCTAAAATTAGACCAAATTAGTAAGTTCATGCTATTGAAGAAAAGTTTTTATACAGCATACTGATACAGTGAGAAAAATATATATGTGTGTGTGTGTATATAGATAGATAGATAGATAGATACTACTCTTGTTTTCATTATATTTAAAATTGTTTTGCTCTCCATTTTCCAGTTCTGTTTCTGAAATAAGGCTTTTATAAATAATGTAAAGTTATAGTAAAAACAGTATCTGCTCATATGTAAAATAGTAATATTGGAATTATCTCTGGTTTTATCTTTTTAAAAAGAATGCTTATTTAAATAATTAAATTAGCAAAGAATTGTTTTATTTTCTTATTTATCGTTACCAGTAGGAAGTTAATTTTTAGTTTGTAACAAACTTAATGTTATTTAAAATTTTACACTGTCTAGGACATCTTTGGATAATAACACAAATATTAATATGATTATGCACTACAAGTTGGAACATTAAGATATTTCAAAGGGTTTTATAATCAAGTATATTTTAAAACAACCTGAAATAAAGTTCCATATTAGTTTTCTCACCTCACAAGGGTACCAGGGATATATTTATTAATGTGTAATTTAAAAGCTTAGGTTTTGAGGAAAAAGCCTATGTAAATTTAAAAAATATATCACTAGTGTACCTTATTCACAATAGCTCATTCTGAATCTCTCTACTGCATTTTGATTATAAATTTCAAAGAAAGAAGGATTATCTCATGAAGCAAGTGATGGCAAGAAATAGAAACTCAGTGCCAATTAGGCAAAGAACATTCACATGTGTTAAATTTGTGCATCACTGGACGAACTGGGGAACTGCCACATCAAACAACTTTATTAACCAATTAGAAATACTCAGTGCATCTGGTAAAATTTAGGGTGTCAAAGGCCTTGCTTCTCTCAAAGTCTCATTTTAAAATAATTAGGCATTGATCTTTATTATACTAATACCATATTGGAAAAAAATGACTGAAGGAGGCCAAGGGGAATGGGCATTGGGGCTGGATGCTAAAACACTAAGACGATTGGTATCAAAGTGATGAATTCACACATTGCCACACTTCTCTTCACATTGATTCAGGGGATTTGCTTGGGTAGAACTTGAGGTAGGTTACGACTTAAACTACTGTGAAGAATTCAGGCACTGTAGACAGACTTGAGGGCACAATGAGAAGGCTGCGTAAGGAAAGACAGAACATGGGCTGAGACGTCAGCTGTTCCTGGCTTAGTGTTTGGTGACCTTGGGCTGAGCACTTAACCTCTCTAAGCCTCGTGTAAGTCATCTGTAAAATAGGCCACTGAGCTTTTCTGGCAGGATCTTGCAAGGATTAAATGAATGACATTTGGAAATAGTTTGGCATGGGTGGGTACTCATTGAACAGTTTCTTTTGTCTTTCTCTCAAGAAAAATGTTGATGAATTTTTCTAGTAAATCATAGAATTGACTACATTTTGATGGTACCAATATATGTCTAAATGAGAAAACAAATTCTACAAAAACTTACCCAGTTCTGAGCGATCTGTTCAATATCCCAATCAAAGAAAGAATTGATAAAATAACGGCAAAGAAGACCATTCCTAATAGAAGCCCAATGTCTTGTTGCCTATTGTCTGAGAGGAAAGAAAAATAATTTTAGGTATAATTTCCATCTATATGACGCCAGAATCATTGTTCTTCTACTCTGCTCCAAGTGAAGGTCATTGATCTCAAAGGAAATAGGAAGGGGAAATAAAATTAACCTTTACCTTGGGCTGTAAAGTGACTGCCCTTCCAAACTGCACAATACCTTTTGTTTGAGGGAATTGGGCTGCATATATCTGATGTCAGTGAATTGAGTCTCTGGCAAACGTGGTCAGCATTAGACATTTTTCTGAGCTTGTGCTTGCATATTTTATATAAAAAAAAGTTTAGTGATAAACATCACTTGGTTTGTTCGGCACGAGTGAGAATTCCCAGTTGCTTGCGACAGAGTCTAAAGCTGGCCACAGTCACAACTGAGTTGTTTTTTTTTTTTTAACCTTTTGTACAAGACAGAAGTTATGTACAACTTGTCACCATTCTTCGAAATTTATTGTTCATGAATTTTTTCCTGCTAAAAAAGAACCTTCACTCTACTTAGAACAATATTTGTTATGAGAGAACTCCAAATTGCCATATATCTTACACTGACATTTTATTTTAAAAACAGTGCTTTTTTTGAATTTTGAAGTGGAATTAATCACCTGTAATCTTTAAATAATTATTATATTCGGCATGTGTTACCTACCAGTCTCATCCTATTTTCTCCCTAGTACATGAAAAACCCTATTTTCTATTTTCAAATGTAAACTTTAATTTGGACATGACTTGTCATGCTGGAGTTGGTTCTGAGCCATGCTGGGTATTGGCGCCTTCCATCCTCCTTCCTCCCCAGCTTTGGCAGACGTTTATCGGATACTTACCATGTGTCAGACACTGAATTGGCCCTGCCCTAGTTATTCCCCAGCTGCACCTAACATGCACTTGGGGGTCTCCTTGCTGTCCAGCCCCTCTCCTAAAGCCACTGGTGGGCCAGGGCCAGTGTGGCTTACTTCGCTCCAAAGTCCCAGTGGGGTATGGAATTAGTGTTTTCCTAGGACTACAATACTATTGCTAAGGATTTCAAGCAACTAACGGGAGGTACTGGCTTCCACATATCCTTGTGCATTAGTCCTGGAGGAGAATGAGGAATTCCCAAGTTAACATGGGGCCAGGTAAAGGGGTTTGAGGAGTAGAGCAGAGTCACCAAGAGAATAACCTGAGATACCTGGGTTCGAACTAGATGCTGCTGCTTATCAGCTCCGTAACATCAGAGCATAATAATGAACTTGCTGAAGCTCAAGTTTCCTCTTCTGTAAAATAATACCTATCTCACAGAGCAGCCATGGGTTCCTAGCCTCCACAATTCCCACAGAAATATCAAGGTGCAAGTCTTGCAGGCATTTGTAATTAGGGATCTGTGCTGAACCTAAGCACTTGGCCCGTAATTGATTCACATAAAGCAAGTTCAGAGTACCCTTACATTGCTTCATTTCCTATATAACACTTGCTGCCACCTTCCTTTTCTTTTTTTTGTTTGTGGTTTCCCCCACCCCACCCTGTCTATCTGGAATGGAAGCTCCATGAAGACAGAGCCTTTGTTCATCTTTTTCACTGCGGATTCCCCAGTACTCAGAATAGTGCCTGGCACATAAAATATGTGCCTGGCAACATAGAATATTTTTTGAATAAATAAACAGAAGTCCAAAGAATGTCAATATCACCTGCCAAAGTTTTTATACTATTCTTGCCAGATTTCTATGCAAGGAGATAAATGCTCTACAACCTGATCTAGTATCTTTTTTATGCCTGAAACATTTAGATATGCTTATCAATGGAAAATACAAAGTCATACTAACAAATAAAATGGGAGCTGGTTTATATAAGAGAAGGAGCACAGACTTCAGGATTTGAAAATTGTATTTGAATTTTAGTCCAGACAAGTTCCTCAACCTCTCTGAGCTCCAGTTTTCCCATCTGTAAAATAGATACATAGCACTTACCTCAACAGGTTGCTTTGAAGATTGATGAAGATTTTGAAGATTGAAAAAGATGATGTATATGAAATTCCTAGCACATGGTAGACACTCACATAATGGTATTTTTTAGGAAGAATTTTTGAGGTCTTGAGCCCCAGCAGCAATTGAACTGAACGTGTATCTAACCCAGAGCAAAGCTGGCAAAATCTACCTAAACCGCTCCTTACATTCAATTTTAAGCAGATTTTTGTTTGATTATTTTCCTATGGAAAGCATGTGGCATATCTTACTGTCAAGAAACGTATGCCTGACACATGATTTTTCAGTCTGGAGCATTCAGATGGATGATTAGTAAAGACTACTCAACAAACCTAAGCAGTATTTTCTTACCAGAAGTAAGGTGTCCTTCAAAGATGGAAGCAATTAGAAGCCCAGAATTCTGAGTATCATGTTGAAATGATTTCAGTGTGACCTGGGGAACTTAAACAAAAAGAAAATAGTGTCAGCTTTTTATTTTTTGCACTCAGGTTACCCAATTTCCTAAGAGAGTTTCTTCACTTGTTTGGAGATGATTAAAGCAAACCAGTAACTTTAATAGGCTGGAAAGATGGAGTAAAAGCAAAAACCTGTGTGTGTGTGTGTGTGTGTGTGTGTCTTCTTCTTTTTATTAAATTGGGTAAATCCTAAAGGAGGAAACATTCAAAGGACAATAAAAACTACCTAGGGTTTGTAAGACTTGAAGGTGTGTCCACTAATTTCATGAGGCTTCTAGGCAACAAATTCCAAGGAGCTTTATTTCATTCACCGAGCCAGAAAAAAACACACAACTGGTCTCTACTTGATTCCTTCCAATAGATGATGCAATAAAGTTTAGGTTTCCTTAAGAGCCTCCAAGATGTGTCACTTTTGCCTTTGCACAGTCTTACAGATGCTGTTTGTGAACAGCCTCTTGGCTTCATATAAGAAGCCCAGTTTTGATTAGCAGACACTTTGAGGTTATAACATAAGGGTGGAATGCCATTAATGACTTCCCTCTGCTCCTTCCCCACGGGCAAGGATCCTGGCCAGCCCTGTCTACCCGTAAAGCCTGTCAGAACACTGCTAATGAAATCTTCTGACCAGGGTGGGGTCAGCTGCCTTGGTAGCTAACTTGTTTTCAGCCTGAACTCAGAAGAGTCCTGGATGGGCTTCCCTGGTGGCTCAGTGGTTAAGAATCTGCCTGTCAATGCAGGGGACACGGGTTTGAGCCCTGGTCAGGGAAGATCCCACATGCCGCGGAGCAACTAAGCCCGTGTGCCACAACTACTGAAGCCTGTGCTCTAGAGCCTGGGAGCCACAACTACTGAGCCCTCGTGCCACAACTACTGAAGGCCGCGCGCCTAGAGCCCATGCTCTGCAACAAGAGAAGCCACCGAATGAGAAGCCCGCACACCTCACCTCAATGGAGACCCAATGCAGCCAAAAATATAATAATGATAATAATAAAATAAAATAAATAAATTTATAAAAGAGAAAAAAAGAGTCCTGGAGTTTCCTTACCCACCTCCTCCCTCCTGATAATTAAAAGCTGCCAGAGGTGACTTCAAGGACACAATTCTCCCAGCTGACAGAAGATATTCCTGAAAATGGTTCTAAGCTCTGGATCTCCAAGAGGGCCTCAAGCCCTATTTATTCAGTCATTCTGATTTCAGTGTTCAAATTCTTCTATTAAAAGAATCACTTTGGGGGCCAGGGAGAAATCACAACTTGAGGTGTCCTTAACTGCTACGGAGATATCATAGGCTTGTATAACAAGCTGTGTGGCCAGGGCAACTCTTTTTGAGAAAAATATCACAGAGTTCCGATAAAAAGATTCCTATGGGTCTTTGGAAATGTTTTAAAAAGGCTGATCTGGGTGCAAACACAGGCTCGATTGAAGAGTAGTTTTCTAAGAACAATGGGTAGGGAATTTTAGAAGATGAAAACATCAGAAAAGCCAAAAGTTCTTTCCTGTGTTTTTATTCTCAATTCTCCACAGCAAGAGGGAAATGTTTTACTGTGGATTGTGACAAATCAGAAGCTCTTTCTGGCTCCTCAGTGCTTCACTACGTCTCTTTTTTCCCTAAGTATGTGGTTCCATCCCCAGTGGTCAACAGCCAGGCTTATTCATCTAAATTAGTATTTTACAGGCTTATGTTCATTCTCAGGGAGCCCAAGCAGGAGTCTGCATCTACATTAGTTTACAATTTTAAGAAAAATATTACATTAAAATGTAACACAACTTTCAATTTTGCAAAATCATGGGTTTATAGCATATGTTGCTGGATTATTTTTGTTTTCACTTTTATTATTTTAAAGTTAGCATTTTTATTTAAAAATATATATGGTGCTGTTGGCTTTTAATACAGGTTAATATAATTCTGTTGTATAAACTGCAGGTGGTTATTTGGCATGAAACGTCAGTTATTAATTTGCATCACATAAAAATAATTTTCATATCTGACTAGGGCTTTATTAGCCCTAATAGAGAATAAACATAATCTTCCTTTAGAGTCTTTTTGTTATCATAGTTTCAAATCAACCAGGTGTATTAATTTAAATTAGATTAAAGTCAGTTAAAAGAGATGCTTAATTGTAAGAGGGTAATATCACAAAGAATCAGATATCTGAAGTAAGACAATTTATAAACAAAACTGTCAGAGAAGAAATCAAGCCAATGACAGATTTTTTTTTATTAATGTTTATTGGAGTATAGTTGCTTTACAATGTTGTGTTAGTTTCTGCTATACAGCAAAGTGAATCAGTTATACGTATATACGCTGTACCTATATCCACTCTTTTTAGATTTCCTCGCCATTTAGGTCACCATAGATCATTGAGTAGAGTTCCCTGTGCTATACAGTAGGTTCTCGTTAGTTACCTGTTTTATACATGGTAGTGTATATATGTCAATGACAAAATTTTTAAGCGAAGGACTGAAATGAAGCCATATAGGCTATTATCTTCATGACATACTGCCACCAAGTGGCTAGGTCATTTCTTCTTAAATCATACTTAATATTTTTCATTATAAAAGCAGTAACTATAATAGGAAAAAATAATTTTAATAAGAAAAATAGAGAGAGAAAAAAACTCTAATACATCCCTTTAATCCACCTGCCATGACTGAAAAACATTCTTTATATCAACTCTAATCATCAGTGTATTGCCTAAAATGCTAGAAAAAAATCTCATGGTATTTTTGTTATTTATTTAATATCTGCAGTGTTATGTCTGTAAAGAGACAGTTCTGTCCCTGCAGCGGAATATTAAATTATGCTTTATTACTCTCACAGCATATATTTGAGTATACTCAGAAACCCCAAATCATCTCTAATTTGGTAAGAATTTTTATATAACTTATACACACTGACATTGGACACTAGAGTTAGTCTTAACAGAAGGCAGTATGTTTATAGGGAGTTTAGAATGGTTTTAAAAAAAGATGCAGTTTCTTGTTCTTGGACAAAACTAGAAGCATAACTACATTCTTTGGCCTACCCAATACCAGCTTAATTTAATCAAATCCACTCAAAAGGAATTAGTTTTAGCAATAATGTATTCCATCTGTTTCTTAGGGATAATGTCAAATCAGCCTCCTCAGCCTTTCCCTCTACGTCTACCATGGGGCAAAGTGTGTTTTGTTATTCTTTTAAAGTGATGATTTATCGAGTACTAATTATGTTCCAGATACTGTACTAGGCTTTGCATGCTTTCTCTCAGTTAATTCTTACAACAACCCAATCAGGTAGATAGTACTATTGTCCTCATTTTATGGATGAGGAAACAAAGGCAAAAAGGATAAATGACTTGTCCAAAGTCACCTAGGTAGAGGTCCAAGAGTGAAAATTCCTCCCTGGTTCTGGCATGTAATTTGTGCTGGTCACTGGCTCCATTAATTAATAATCTCACTTTTGTAGCAGGATGGCTCCAGATGGAGCAGCTGAGTCAGCCTTGCAAGCAGTGCTCCCATGCTGAGACTTAGCCATTGCTCCCTGGGGGCTGGCCAGTGTGTTAGAGCTGCCTGGCCTTGTAGGGCTTGGAACCCACCACAATGGACGATGGTTGGGCTAACCCATTGAGCACTGATTCTCAGACTCTTCCAGCCTAGAGTTATCTTCTTCTGAACACCAACTATTTCCCTTTTATACAAGCAATACTTGCTAACTGTAGGATGCTTGAAAAGTATAGAAGAGTATGAAAAAGAAAATATAATTTTACATTTGTTCACAAACTAGAAACAATCATTTTTTTACATTTGTTAACAGTCTTTTGTGTATATCTGTACCCTAGTTGAGATCATGCTCTTTACTAAATGTTGTGTCTGGGATTTTTAAATTTAATATTATATCATGAACATTTTACAATTTTTTAAAAAATTGTTCAAAATCATCATACTAATGGCAATTTAATATTTCATGATGTTTGTACTGTGTTTATTCAATCATCCTCCATTAAAAAAGCGTATAGCTTGGTGATTTCAAATAACCAGCTTTGGATTCAGATGAAACTCAGTTCAAATCCCGACTCTACCACTTGGAGTTGCTTGGCCCTGGGCAAGTTGCTTAACTGCTTTGTGACTCAGTATCTTCATTTGTAAAATTGGGTAATAACAACGCTTCATTCATGAGGTTTGATGACATAGTTCATACAAAGCACTTAGTACCATGCCTTATACAAATTAAAAGCTTAATAAGCATTAGCTATTGCTATGATTGGACTTTTAGATTGTTACCAAATTCTTACTTTTATAATTAGCTTTTACTTTTTTTTTTTTTTTTTTTTTTTTTTGCGGTACGTGGGCCTCTCACTACTGCGGCCTCTCCAGTTGTGGAGCACAGGCTCCGGACGCGCAGGCTCAGCGGCCATGGCCCACGGGCCCAGCCGCTCCGCAGCATGTGGGATCTTCCCGGACCGGGGCACGAACCCATGTCCCCTGCATCAGCAGGCGGACTCTCAACCACTGCGCCACCAGGGAAGCCCTATAATTAGCTTTTAAATAAATATCATTGTACATAAGACTCCTTTCCATAGCTCTGCTTATTTCCTAAGGCTAGATTTCTGTAAGTGGAATTACTGGGCCAAAGGGTATGGACATTTATAATGCTCCTTTGTTTATTTTTGTTCTTGCCAGTCTTGGTGTCAGAGCCACACTAATCAAGGCCTGCTTCTTAGAGGTTTGACCAGAGCCGACACAGGGACCTTTCTAGATCTTTCTCTTTCAGAAGTTTCTAGATATTTAAGAAAGAGGAGCCACATTAAAGGTGTGTTTTTCAAGTTAGTGAAGGGTTTTTTTTCCATCTTGTTTTTCTTAAAACATAAACATCTCCTTTTGATTTCTTTCTATTCTCCTTCTTCTAATAATCTCAGCTATTCACAGCATTTACATGCTATCTCCCTAGGCCAATTTAGCTCTGTGGTTGGAATTCAACATTATTGGGCTAAGGGTGAAGATTTGACCC